CATTCTCCCTGCTAATTACAATGTTCTAGCTCTTGTAGAGTTCTGATTCAGGAGGAAGTGCTCAAAACCTCTGCAAGAAGGTCACTGTTTCCACACAGGGAATATGGGTACTTTATTCCTTGATATATACTCCCTCTGTGTCAGTCATATTATAACCTACAGATAATTTATGGCCTGTGACCAACTTACCTTCTCCATGGAACTATGTCACCTGATTGCAAGATACATAATCTAAATAGCCCAGAGAAGGGTTTCATCCCGACCTGTATAGAGATGTCTCCAGGGTTGTGGTTCATTGAGGGCATAATAATCTGTTGAGAGCTCTGAGATAAGTCATTATCTAACTGCTGGCCTCCACAGTTTCATCTGCTGTTCATGGGGTTCCCTATGCTGGTTTTCCCAGCATGTGGCTCTCTCTGCTAGGTTCCATTTATGCCCTCAGGCATGCTAGTTAGGACAAATTTGATGGCCCAGTGGTCAGTTAGTAGAGCTTGGATATCTGTTAATATGTTGTCTTGTGATTTCAATCTTTGATGTTTTTCTATTCTATGTTGCTATCTATGCCTGCCTTGCCTCATTTGAACTCTGCCTGCCTTGTGGCATTCTACTGAATGTCTGAGTTTGACCAGTTTGAACTGTTTGTTTCCAGCCTGACCCATGTTGGAGTCTGGTTACCTTATTGAAGATCCAAAATCTGCCTCATAAATATTGTGAGACACCCAATCATTACATACAGATATAGTATACCAGAAATGAGATTGCCAAAGGTGTAGAGTAGCAGTTCAATAGTACGTAGTGTAGCAATAGTTATTAAACTTGATCTAATGTCCATCTTTTATGCTGACCATACCCAACATATTTCAAGCTTTTGATCACATAAACAATCAAGTGTAAAAATAGGTCTTGGTTGTGTGTTCCCTTGATCTAGTAGACTGCTTTTATGATTCAAGAAAGCAACCGGAACCCTACAGAATATCCATCATCTCTAAACTCCAAAGAAAAGATTTGTATGGGAATTTCTATGCCCATTATTTAAAAACATAGGAATGCTTATACAAGCAAAAAAGACTTGCCTGTGGCACAATCTGACAACATGAAAATGGTATTCTGCTAAGAACACTAAAGAAGGAAAACCGCTGTAAACTGCTAGTCCTCAAGTTCAAAGGGAAGTTTTAATATTGATGATGATAAGATCACAAAGGCTGCACCTGACCATAGAAAAAATACACAACTAGCCAATGAAGAGCATAGACCTAAATGCTTCAAGCAGATATGTTGTTGCATATTTTCTTGTAAGGTCAAAAAGTTTAATCCTTTTTTTATTAAATGTCCTGCTTTCAATGAAATCATACCAGCAAGGTATATCCGCAGACACTCCTCCTCCAGTGTGACAAGGCAAAGTGACCATTCTTATATTTTAGTAAAGAAATTAATTGAAGCCATTGAATTAGCATGACATATGGGTGACTGTTATTTTCACAAATAGAGGTCCGGAAAGGCAGCCAATGTATTTTTACTCACTTTAATCTTAGGATGGACCTAAATTTTTCCTGCTGCTTTATTTTTCCTTTGCCAGTTATTGGGGGTGGGGGTTAGCTCTCAAAACAATAAGTAAAGCCCTGCCTCTACCAAGATGGTCACCTTCATGCAAGTGCACAGTGCACAATAAGGCATGGAAGGTCAATAGAGGGGTAAAAATCAGTTGCAGCAGATAATACTAGTGACTTTGCACTCTACCTGCTTTTTTGGCACACCATCCAATGTTCAGTTCTTCTTTAAGACTTAAGTTATTAGGGTGATGGTTAAAGATTGGTGTTATGGTTAAGGGCTAGGGATAGGTTAGCAAACGTCTTGTACACAGTTTAGTTTTTGGCACCAAAGCCCCAAATTTTTGATCTTATCATCAAAACCTTGGTTTACGAACGCCTTGGTTAACGTAATTTTCGGTTTACGAATGAAAATCCATTGAAAATAATGCCTCAGTTTATGAATTTTGTTCTCAATACGAACGGATTAATTGGTTTTCAATGCATTTACAAAATTTTTTTTTAAAATCATGTCCCTGTACAGTACTATGCCTTTAACCACTTCCTGTCCGGCCCATGTATATAAACAGCTGGACGGGAGCATTGCAGGGGCGGGTGGCCGTTTATAAACGTCCTCCCCACTTCTCTGCTTGTACGCGATCCCTGGGAGCACACAGCACCGATCGCTGTATGGGACCTCTGTGTGAGGCCCTGATCATGTGATCACTGATTGTCCAATCAGTGATCACATGAATAGTAGTAAGCAAAATGTCACTTCTGACATCGTTGCTTACTACGTGTGAAATCTGTCAATGATCACAGAGCTCACATGGTACAAGGCGATTCACAACAGCCTTGTACCATGTGACAAGCTGTGACCAATCACAGCTCGCACAGTATTTCTCAATGGCTGCAAGAATGCAGCCAGAGAGAAGGAGAAATGTTTGCTTTTACATCCTTTATGGGTGTGAAAGCAATCAGTGTAAAAAAAAAAAAAAAAAATCTTCATCACCCCCCACAAGTAGCACAGTGTCACTATGGTGACACTGTACTGCTAGGGTGACAGTATGTTAAAAAAAACACAAATAATAATATAAAAAAATAAAATAAAAATGTAAAACATTTTTTAAAAATTATATTTTTAGGTTATAAACTAATTTGGGTTTTTTTTTTTACTAAAAAGATAACTGAATACATTTTAGCCAAGATTTATGAAGAAAGATTATTTATTTGCAAAATTTTATAAGAAAAACAATTTTTTTTCAAAATTTTTGGACTTTTTCATTTATATAGCAAAAAAAATATAAAAATCCCAGTGGATATAAATATAAAGTTTTATCTGTCTCAAAAAATTCTGAAAAATTCATATGGACACAGTGTTGCATGACCGCACAATTGTCAAAGTGTGATAGCACTGAAAGCTGAAAACTGGCCTGGACTGGAAGAGTTTTGAACAGATAAGACTTTTTTTACTTTTTTTCTGACGTCTGGAACGGATTAATTGGTTTTCAATGAATTTACAAATTTTTTTTAATCATGTCCCTGTACAGTATTTATGCCTTTAAAGTGCACTATATAAAGAGTTTTTAACAGACAAAATACTTTTTTTTAACTTTTTTCTGACCTCCAGAACGGATTAATTGTTTTTCAGTGCATTCCTATGGGAAACCGTGTTTCGGTTTACACATTTTTCATAATATGAAAAGTCCCGCAGAACGCATTAAATTCATAATATCCCATAGCTACAGGTTAACAATGTTGGGAACTGTGTATGAAATATTGAGGTCAGTCTCAGCAACCTTACACTAAACCCCAACTCCAGCCAAAACAATTTGCTTCAAATAAAGCAAAGAACGTTTAGGTTTTATTGCTTCTTGTGTCCCTAGTGGGGAGATTTCCACTCACTTCCTCTCAGCACACCAACAAAAACAAAAACCAGTTAGTAGGGTGACGAGGAGTTAGAACGTCTAACAATGGGTTCATTGCTGTCCAGCCTTTGCTGTCCTGACACCAGAACATTCCCTGTTGAAGGAAAATCTTGCCAGTAAGGTAATGGGCAGAAATAAAAGCCTAACAGACAATGTAACTTTTCCCTACTCTATCCAGATCAAAAAAATGACTGGTAAGGCTAGAATCTCTGATGGGATGTGGACAAGAAGAAGACTGCTTTGGAAAATTACTAGATTGACAATTTTTTGCAGACCTTAATTATCATGTGTTGTTCTATGAGGAAACCTATAAATCTTCTTATCTTTGATTTTTTCATGTACTCTGCCCACTTGGCACAAGAGTTTACAGTGAAGTGATTTCCCCTCAAAGAAACTGGAAAATTAATTTAAAAACATTTCAGAAGGTCTTTAGAAAGGAAGCAGCTGGAAAAGAGATTGCTGGATTACTACGTCCGAATCTGAAAGGTGAGATTTCACCTACAGAAGGCCATACACAGTCTTTAGTTTTCAACCAAGCTCAAACCTTAAATGAACTCAATGGTCATATTTCTTTTTGCAACTTAATAATGTAAATGGTGAATGATGTGGTGATTAGTCCAAGCACTTAGCAAGCAAGCACTTACAAATGCAGTCATGTATTTCTGTGCTGAATGTTTCCAACATAGAAAACCCTGTGTGACTGCTTAAAAGAGAATATTAGAATTTAGAAAAAAAATCATATTTACATTGGTGGATGCAACATCGATCCAATGCTGCATCTGTCCCCTGCCAGCTCTAAGGCTTAGAACTGAGCGAACAAACAATGCTGATCGCTCAGTTCTCCCCATCCACTCTGAGCAGAGAGTCGGGACTGTCAGTCTCCAGCTCTCTGGTCTGCCTCCCCTGTGCTCACTGAAGCACTGGGCTGTGGAGGGGTCATGAGCAGCTTGCTCAGACTCTCAGCAGCTCACTGAGATGCCGAGCAAAGTGCCACTCCAGGCTCCTGGGTGAATCCCGACCATATGGTCCCCATTTTTCCCCAGCCTGGACCAGCTTCGTGATGTCAGTCAACAGCAGGCTGCTGCAAATACATGTATAAGCTGTGAAGCCTCTTCACCGCATACCGATATTCTGCAGTACCTAACTCTATAAATTTTGAGAGCTTCCATAGCAGAAGCACACGTATAATAATGGATAGACTGAGGGCAGCCAGGTAAGCCTGGAGGAAGTCCACCCCTCCTTAAAGGCACAGGGACACACTGGACACCCAGCGTATAACACAATGGTAAGATGTCCAGTGTGTCCCCACACCAGCATATCAACAGTACAAACAAATGGCAACTAACCCAATCTATAACTGGCCTTTGCAGTAAGGAGCACATGGAATGGTGACACATGTCAAACAACAACAGAGAAAAATTCGCAGCTCAGCTTACCAACTTGCCTACAACCAACTGATTTGTCCTGTCTGATGGTTCACATTAAAAACAGGGCTTTAGTTTGCACACATATGCAAATACACTTTATTGCCAAAAGTATTGGGACACCCCTCCAAATCATTGGATTCAGGTTTTCTAATCACCTCCATGGCCACAGATGTAAAAATCAAGCACATCGGCATGCAAACTGCTTCTACAAACATTTGCGAAAGAATGGGTCACTTTCAGGAACTCAGTGAATCATGATAGGTTGTGTCAGGGTCCGCCGCAGCGTCTCGTCCGGCGCATGCGCAGTCTCGGCGGCTCGTGCCGGGATAAGGGCACTAGGTCCCGGCCGGCTGCGGCTGAGGGAGACTCGCGCATGTGCAGTAGGCGCCGCAAGTACACGCTGGGCGGCCAATGACAGCGCAGGGCGCGGTATTTAAAGATGCCCTGCGCTGTCACAAATCACCGCAAGGTCTATCCTGTTACCTGAGTTCCTGTACCCCTGTGAGTAAGTTATTTGACCTGGATTGCCCTGACTATGCTGCCTTCTGCTTTTGACCCGGATTGTTCTGACTACGTTGCCTTCTCCTGTCCTGACCCCCGGCTTGTTTAAGCCCTCTGCGGACTGACCTTTCCTATACTGACCCTGCGTGTGACCTGACTATTCTTTGCCTGCCGATTCTGTACCTCGCTGCCCCACGGTGACAACTGGCTAGTTTGACTACGATCCGTCCATCCATCCATCCATATATCCTGCCTGGGCCTGCCAGCCTCCTCACATCTGGCTCTCCTCCTGTATCCATCCCCGGCGGTTCCCTCTGCCACGGGTGGGATTGCTCGGAGGTCGTGACCTGGTCCTGGTCTGCTTCAAGTCCATCCCCACCATCAGGGGCCCTGGTGAACACGCAGACCGGGACTTAGACTCCACGCTCTGGGTATTCCTGTCCAGTGGGCTGCCAGAGGCACCACCTGGCGGATCCGTAACAGGTTGCCACCTGTGCAATACTGTAAGTCCATCCATGAAATTTCCTTGCTACTAAATATTCCACGGTCAACTCTTAGTGGTATTATAACAAAGTAGAAGCAACTGGGAACAACAGCAACTCAGCCATGAAGTGGTAGGCTACGTAAAGTGACAGAGCGGGGTCAGTGCATGCTGAAGCACACAGTGCGTAGAAGTCGACAACTGTCTACAGAGTCAATAGCTAAAGATCTCCAGACTTTGTGTGGCCTTCAGATTAGCACAACAACAGTGTGTATAGAGCTTCATGGAATGGGTTTCCATGGCCGAGCAGCTGCATCCAAGCCTTACATCACCAAGTGCAATGCAAAGCGGCGGATGCAGTGGTGTAAAGCACGCCGCCACTGGACACCAGAGCAGTAGAGATGTGTTCTCTGGAGTGACGAATAATGCTTCTCTATCTGACAATCCGATGGATGTGTCTGAGTTTGTTGAGGTTTCTAGGAGAACGGTATTTGCCTGACTGCATTGTGCCAAGTATAAAGTTTGGAGGAGAGCGGACTATGATGTGGGGTGTTTTTCAGGGGTTGGGCTTGGCCCCTTAGTTCCAGTGAAGGGAATTCTTAAGGTGTCAGCATACAAGACATTCTGGAAAATTTCATGCTCCCAACTTTGTGGGAACAGTTTGGGGATGGCCCCTTCCTTTTCCAACATGACTGTGCACCAGTGCACAAAGCAAGGTCCATAAAGACATGGATGAGTGAGTTTGGGGTGGAGGAACTTTACTGACCTGCACATAGTCCTGACTCCAACCCAAGAGAACACCTTTAGGATGAATTAGAACAGAGACTGCGAGCCAAGCCTTCTCATCCGGCATCAGTGCCTGACCTCACAAATGCGCTTCTGGAAGAATGGTCAAACATTCCCATAGACACACTACTAAACCATGTGGACAGCCTTCCCAGAAGAGTTGAAGCTGGTATAGCTGCAAAGGGTGGGCCAACTCAATATTGAACCCTAAGGACTAAGACTGGGATGCCATTAAAGTTCATGTGCATGTAAAGGCAGGCATCCCAATACTTTTGACAATATAGTGTACATGCGTAAGCTGCAGAGCCTCTTCATGGCACCTCAGTATTCTGCAGTTCCTAAGCACATGAATAATAATGGATGGCATTGAGGGCAGGTAAGCCTGGAGGGGGCCAACCCTTCCTTAAAGGCACAGGGTCGCACTGGACACCCAGCATATAACACGATGGCGGTCCAAGTGTCCAGTGCGTCCCCTCACCATTATTATACATGTGCTTCTACTATGGAAGCTCTCAAAATGTGTAGAGTTAGGTAATGCATAATATAACTGTCCACAAGGTAGCAACACCTCTGCATGATTTAATGCAGAGCAAACTGGGTTGTCAGAAGAACAACTAAGGATGTGCTGGCAGGATCAACAGAGGCTAAAACTATATTACGGGGGTCTCAAAAAACTGCTGCATTAATGACAGACTGCATCATATATGTGATTTTTAATTTTGCTGTTAGTTCTATTTTAACCCATACATGGCTGATTATCACAGGAAATACTTAAAAATGTCACTTTCAAATTCTGTGCCAAGGCCACAGTGAATATTTACCAAGATTATTAAGCAAAGATGGACAACATGGGACTCTGATGTTGGTTAAATACAAATTGTACTGATCTAAGTAAGAAAGTTGAGAAAATTTGGTAGAGTATTAACTGATGTATACATGATTATTTTTGCTATGCTATAACAAGACCCCTTATTATGTCTCATTGATGATGTGACTTTAAAGTGTCCATTGAATGTGCAATATTAATCACATCCTACTGAGATGGGGTAGATATCAGGAATGTCTTGTGATTAAAGTTTGTTTTCTGTAACCACAACACATGCTATATTCTTTTACCATGGCATCCCGTGGGAGTTGTTTCTTCTTTGTTCTTTAAATTTTGTCAACAAATGAAAGCAGATCACGTCTCTTGAAATGTGCATCTATTTTTTAAATGAGTATAGAAGCCTCATGCTTCATTATGAACTGTCTTTACTACAGCCAGATATTACCAGTCGTCTGTTTATGCTTCCCAGGGAGCATGCAAGCTTGTCAACTCTTTCCTGATTTATTTAAAGTGCTGCTAATTAAAAAAAAGAACAGTTCACAACTAAACTTGACAGTAGGTCTGATGACTATGACGGTAGCACAGTGTGTACTTTTGGCACCATTCACCACTTAGTGAAGCCCAAAGAACATAAGACAGATCTTAACTAAAAGAGGCTTGGCTGAATAGAGGAACTACTTTGCCCAGCTATCCCATTATTACACAGTCAACAGAATCTTGCAATAAAGCAGTACTCACAAGGCTAGGGAAGCAGCTGTGCCCATTTAGCTTCCTCCAAGTGCCTTCTAGAGGGGTTGTGTGGAATAGATCCTTAGGTGAAGTCGTGGGGTGTCAGGGAAACTTTCAGATGTAGGCCCCCTGGCTCTGCCACAGCCAGGACCTCGATGAACATCAGCTTGAGTCAGTAGACCAACTTATGGGGGGGGGGGGTAGCCACTCCCCAGCCAGACAGGTGGAATCCCTTCAACAGGAAGACCCTGCTTTTCTAAACCTCAGGTTATTTATGTACTTCCCAGCCACCTTTTGTGCCCACCTCTCCAGGGATTGGCTGCCACAGCATACATATTCATGCTACCCATTTGGCTTACCCACTCCCTATGTTCTAGAACTCTCTAGAAGCCAGGAGAGAGCAGTAAAACTTGCACCCTGTAAAATCCAGAACAGCCAAAAGAAATCAACAACTGTTCCACTGATTACAGTGGAGCCAAAAATAACAAAATTTGCCCAGCAAGCTAACTAGAAGCTATACACACATAGAAAAAAAAATATTTAGGGTAACATATACAGTCAGGTCCATAAATATTGGGACATTGACACAATTCTAACATTTGAAGACAGTTGCAGTAGAGGCCTGGCAAAGCATCACCAGGGATGAAACCCAGCGTCTGGCGATGTCTATGCGTTCCAGACTTCAGGCTGTAATTGACTGCAAAGGATTTGCAACCAAGTATTAAAAAGTGAAAGTTTGATTTATGATTATTATTCTGTCCCATTACTTTTGGTCCCTTAACAAGTGGGAGGCACATATGCAAACTGTTGTAATTCCTACACAGTTCACCTGATTTGGATGTAAATACCCCTTAAAATTAAAGCTGACAGTCTGCAGTTAAAGCACATCTTGTTTGTTTCATTTCAAATCCATTGTGGTGGTGTATAGAGCCAAAAATGTTAGAATTGTGTCGATGTCCCAATATTTATGGACCTGACTGTACTTTAAGGGGCAACTTTACCAAAAGTTCAATTTCATTCAAAACATTTTTTTTAGCTTTGAATAGAGTGGGGAAGCATTAGAATTTCTTTCAGTTTCTAAATTAATGAGGGTGAGTCTCTTGCCTCTTCTCAGTCTGATGCTCTTTACCTGGAATGGAAGCGAGAGGAAATCTCCCACAAGAGGACATAGATAGCAATGAAATCCTGAAAATAGTGCTAAACCATAGTCAATTTACTAGAAATATTTATATTGCTGCTTCTGTCCCTATTGGAGGACTTACTCTTACTTCCTGTTTTGTCTGAAATTCATCAAATAGACAGATTTTACCTCACTTCTTGTTCTGCCCGACCTCTAAAAATTAGATAGTAACTAAGGAGAAATCTCTCACGTGGAAACACGGTAATTAAATGTTAATTAATTAATGTTAAGACTTTCTAACTCTTCTGTCTGTCCAAAACTAAATTGGCAAAAATAGGGCCTTAATAAAAGTCCAAATGGCATTAATATATCAGAATATGCGTGGACCTAGTTTATCACTAAAAAAACCCTTCCATTTTCATGTTTAACCAAAGGTGCCTTGGAATTTCTTTATAGCAGAGGAAACTCACCTCTCCAAAATAAGTGGTCACTTTTCTTTCCTAGTTTCCAGAGTTCCATTTTCTGGTGGACTATTCCAAGGTGTCCTTTTTCAAACTTTGTTCAAACAGCCCTGGAACATGAATCATAGCTTTATGTTATTACATAGATCAAACTATGTACAATATTACAAAGAGAAGGGGGGAGTTAAAGGCAAATCCTTTGTTTACTATAAAAAGTCCTGTTCTCTTTTTTGTAAGTATGCAGACTTTTCAGCATATTAATGACTGTGCAGGAAGGGCCACCACAAATTATAACATCTGTCTACACATTTGTGCCTTTTTGTTTTGGAGTCTTTTTTTATGATGATAAGCATATGGTGAAGCATTGTTCCCGAATCCAGAAGCTCCAGAACTCCTGTACATCAATATTATGCATGGGCTTTAATTGACATTCCAGGCCAGCTGCCCTGTCTTGGAATATTTCATTAATGATGATTCAGCTTTTAGAGTGGTTGTCTGCAACTACTGATTATTCCTTACTTGTATGACTCTGCTTTTATTCTGTCTTCTTTTAACCTTTTGTTCTCTGCATGTCTTTGTTGCTCCATGGCCAGCATAATAGAATCTTAAGAATAGATACACACTCTGTTGAGTCTACAGCCAGTCAGAGTTTGAGAAAAAAAGGATGGGAGCGTTAGTTGGGAGCTAGTGATGCTACAGCTGGGAAAAGGCTCTGGGGGCAACAAATCTGTAACAAATTACGTTAAAGCATTCAAGCCTATAATGGAGATAAGAGTGGCAAACCGTTGGAGGATTTGATGCATGTTACAAGTGCCAAACAGTCTCATAACAAAGACCTTTTCTATCTGTAAAAACAAATGGAGTATGTGATCAAATAGAAGGGTTTAAACAAAAACATATGGTATGAAAAATAAGTTCATGTACTGTATACAATAGGAAATAAAGATATTTGTGTATATGAGATGTTTTTCAGGCCAAGGAATTTGTTTTTATGTCCATCCAGGTTAGAGATATACACAGCCATGATTCCTTGAAGCACCACACATTCTCGTATTGAAAGGAAGGAGACATGATTTACTGTAAAATATGCAGAAGTATCCCTTTAAATCATATACTTAAAGCGGATCTTCACCTTTTTGTGTGACTTGTGTAGCACTAGGGTAAGGGGTGTACAAGATGCCCAATGGAACTGAGAAACCGAGGACAACTTCCTGAACTATGTACAAGTGGTTCCAGATAGTAGTACCACCCCAGACCCCAGATGCTCCTCTATCTGGCTGCCTGGAGGAATCCCTGAACAGGGGATCCAATGCCTGCCACTTTAAAAGAAGACAGTCCCGAGTAGTTGATAAACTGGTTCCCACCAGAGTGCTCCTTCTCCTCTTTGGCTCAGGGGGTGCAGGTTTACTCACTTGGTCCTCCTCCTATGCTGCGGGTGGGTCAGTGGCTGCTACCAGGCCTTCTAGTT